GAACTGGCCCTAACACTGAGCCCTGGGGAACGCCGCTTCTGACCGGCCACCAACCGGCATTAACTCCATTCACCACCACTCTTTGGACCCAGATCATGACTTGCATTGATGCATGGATTTTAAAAGTAATTTTTTACTTGAGCTCATCTTTACATTAGTTTTAATCACAGTTTATAAATCTTACGGCTAGGTAGTTTTATTTGGAATTCATAGAGCATGTTGGAAATGATGCTTTTTAGCCCGTGAGTGTGCAGTCACTCGAACAGCTGGATGTTTTTTCTAACATGACTTAGTGAACTATGTGCTTCTCTTATCATCACAAGGCAAAGCTTCTTTTATCTTCAAGTTTGCTATCTGTAGCTGATAATTATCAGCCAAAACTGCATCGGGGTGGAAAAAAATTTGTTTAGACTTTTATAGCAAGGACATCGAATCCCATTGTGTGCAGCTGGCAAAATTTAACCAGGGCGAGCCTGCGCTTGCTTCCGAACCCACATTTAGATATTGCTGACCCGGAGCTTTAAAATGGCCAAAATGACTTGGGACTTCACACGTGCAAATAGAGCTGATAGGATTCTTTTCCAAAGAAAGGTGTTCTTCGGGGAGCCATGCACCCATGGTGGCAGAGGCAGCCTGCAGGAGCACAGCTCTTCCACCCACGTGGGGACGGCCCACCGCAGGAAGGCTGAGTCCTGCTTCCCTGCTCTGCTTTCTAGGAGGACCTGATTTCACTGGCCAAGCAAAGTGACCTGCCGGTTAAAAAGGTGGAGACCTGGTTCCGGCACCGGCGGGCCCAGGACCGGCCCAGGCTGATGAAGAAGTTCTGTGAGGCCAGGTAGGTGGGCCAGCAGAGGCTTTTGGTGATGAAGACGTCCAACAAGGTCTGCACGCCATCACCATCCCCGGCCCTGGCCTTAGCCCCAAGCACACTCCCAGAGAAGCCTGCTGCGGCTGCGAAAGCAGACTTCGTACCATGAAGCTGGGTCCCACCACTGCACAGGCTGCCAGCTTCGTCCTTCCTTTCCACTTTTCACTTTAAAAAGTTAAAGTTGCCTCAAAAGAGTCCGCTGCCCTTGATGCAGATTGAGTTTAAATCTCAGATGCTAGAGGGATTTTGAGCAGCAATGCCATTTGCAAAACGTGTCAAACTTCTTTTCAAGATGATCTTCATACGAAATTAAAATTTTAAAATATTCTCAGCATGGATCATTGGGCATAAAATAAATCCATGAAGTGGAGTTAGTAGGCAGTGCGAGCCATGAACGGAGGGAGGTAAAAACTGAGAAACACCAGGTTGTGGAGTCTCCTTCTCTGGAGAGATTCCAAACCCTCCTGGACACCATCCTGTGCAACCTGCTCTGGGTGATCCTGCTCTAGCAGGGGGTTGGACGAGATGATCTCCAGAGGTCCCTTCCAACCCCTACCAATCTGTGATTCTCTGCTTGAGGTTTAATGCTGTATGCACACAAAGGCCCCCACCAGGCATGAGATCTACTCTCCCTCCCCCTCTGAAAAATAAATTATTCAGTGCTTGAACCCTGTTACTATGCTTTAGTTACCTTAACAGCAGCGCATCCATGTGTGAACAGAGCTGAGGTTCTGCAAATCCCAGCCCAAACAAGTGTAGGTTCCCCTGTGGGCTTTGCAGCGTCTTGGGGAGCTATTCCAACTCTGGAGGAAGTCTTAATTTCTTGGCTTTTTTCTGTTTTAGCTGGAGATTTACATTCTATTTCACCTCATTCTTCTCTGGGCTGGCTCTCCTCTATGATGTAAGTATGTGAGCAGGGTAATGCTGTGGAGTGACATCTTTCAAGGATTCCTCGTTCATGGCAAATGAGTCCGATGGCCCTGGGCAGTTTCAAAGAGCCCATCCAGAGATCATGTGTGGCCATGACTGTGGGTCCAAAGACAAAGAGTGACAAATTCAGGGGCATGGAGCAGAACCATCCCCAATGCTGATCCAGCAGAACAGTCCCCCTTTCCCTGGGTGGACCTGGCTAGGTGTGAGTGATGTTACCATGGTTTTCTCCTTGTCTTAGATCATTGTGTAAGTGATGCCCCACTAATACCCACATGCAGACGTTGCATCTCAGCCAAGAGCAGACCCTGTCCTGGCTGTGGCTGCTGCCCACTGCGTATCAAGACCCTCTGTGTGACATCCTGTGCCTTCACTAATGACAAATGCTTTTTGCCAACCACTTTTTCCAAAGCTCAAAGGCAGATTGGATCTAGCATGGGCTCACTAACTTCTTGACACGCTTCTTCATATGGTCATTACATGTCACTAGAAGGCTGTGGGTTCTTACTACTGTCTTCTCTCTGCGCAGAAGTCCTGGTTTTGGGACCACACAATGTGCTGGCTGAGATTTCCACAACAGGTGAGCAGCAAATACCTGGAATCACCAGATAATTTGTGTTGGAAGGGGGACCAGGAGATCTTTTGTCCAACCTCCTGCTTGCAGCACTCAGCTGCAAGATCAGACCAGGTTATCTAGGGCTTTCTCCAGCCTAGTTTTGAAAATCTTCAAGGATGGAGCCAGCACAACCTCTCTGGGCAAACTGTTTGACTGCCCTCATAATGAAAAAGCTTTCTTACATCCACCTCTCTTGTTTCAACTTATGTCTGCTGTCTCTCATCCTTGCACCATGGGGAACAGCTTGGCTCTGGCTTCCTTACAGGCTCCTTATAGGTGCTCCATATGATCGCAAGCAGAGAGTCTCTGCCCTGAAGAGGCACCTCTTCCCAACGAGTTTCTCTGTAACCCAAACCTGGCTGGAAGTGGTTCTGTGTGTGTGGCCACCAAAGGGACCAGGTGGTCAGGACATCCCTCAACCTCTCTGAGCAGGGATGGAGATGAGAGGTGTCCGACCCCCTGCAGACTGGCCAGGGCTTGACAGCGCATTGGCAAATGGCTCAGTCACAGGGAATGTGAAAATTTAAGCATGACCAAGCCCAGCTCTCCCAAACACAGGTTGAATGAAGGGGCTTTGCCCAGGAAGACCCTTCCCCTCTCCCACCCCCCCAGAGCTAGGCAGGGCTTCACGCTGCCTGTCACTTGTCTCGCAGCCTCTCCCTCCCGCGTTGGGCTGGTTCTACCTGCTGGAGCTCTCCTTCTACTGCTCGCTGGTGGCCACCCTGCCCTTCGACGTGAAGAGGAAGGTGAGTGACAGCAGCACAACCACAATGTGCTGGCTTGGTTGGCCCCCGCCACGAGGCTCTCCCCTCCCGCTGTCAGCTCCCTGGGGGTGCAAAGGACAAGGCGTGCATGCAGCGGCGAAGACCCCCGAGCCCATGAGCTCCTTGCAGCTCTCATATCCCACCATTGCACCTTGCGCTGGGTGCCGCTCGTGTGTGGTGTGGCCTTCCTGCCTGCCTGGGGAAGCACCAGGAGCTGACATGGGCTCCCCACGCCTGGCCAAGGCACAGCCACTGGGTGAACATGGCATCGTGGCCCTTCCCAGCCCTGGTCTCAGGTGCTGCCTGAACCAGGGGGCTGTGTCCTCCCCGGGGAGGGGAGCTGGACTGTTGTGATGAAGGTCCTGTAGATGCATGTGCGGCTTTCGTAGTGTGGGATGAGGTGGCCTCCTGGGGCCCATGGATCCAGCATCCACCATTGCCCTCTCCTCATTCTGCAGTGAAGACTGCACAGAGCTGTGCAGCTCAACTGTACAAGCTGAGGTTCAACCTCAGCTTCATTTGATTGTTTAATTTGAGGATCACATCTCTCTTCAGAAACTTCATGCTTTTCCCCAGATGTGGGTTCTGCCCAGCTCTCGCAAAGCATGTTCTGGATCCCAGAGGACCTGCAGAAACTCTATTAAAATTACCAATACTGCAATAGTCTTTTTAGACAGGTTGGTTATTGACCACCTGCAATGCCTCCCAGAAGAAGCAGGAACACGCTGCCTGGCAGTGGTCCTCCCTGGGTCAGAGCTGCCCTTCCCAATCCCTCCACAGAGCACTCCAGAGTCATCCTATACCCCAAGCATTGCCTTTTTGCATGTACAGATTTGTCCATGTAGGCATGAACCACCCATCAAGGTCCTCTCTTTACATGAGTTGTGTGAGAGGGCGTATTCCCCACCTGCAGTACCTCCAGCCCATCTCCATGGGTCCCTCTTCGTGGGCAGTACAGGGAGGTTGAAGAGCTGTCTCCATTATGGCTAGTGGGTAGGACCTGCCCCAGCTTTTCCATACACAGTGGAGGTGTCTGGGAGGAAAATATGGGGTGTTAAGAAAGGAACTTTGCAAGGGCAGATTGATTCATGGAGAATTTATAAAAATCTGTCTTCTAGCATGTTTGCACCTATGCGTACGTTCTTGGGATTGTGCAGGACCTCAGAGAGCTGTAGCACGGTGGGGAGCACCGATGCTTCGCGGAGGTGTTTGCCATGTCCTAATGAGGCAGCAGCATCCAGGAACAGGTGCTGCCAGGTCAAGGTAAGACTGGCACACAGTCTCTCTTCTCATGCCAGGACTTTAAGGAACAGATCATCCACCACATCGCCACCATCACTCTGATCTTTGTCTCCTACTGTGCCAATCTTATACGGTTTGGGATGATCGTCATGTTGGTCCATGATGCCTCCGATTATATTTTAGAGGTGAGTTACCCTCTCCCAGAAATGCAGAAATGTGCTCGTGTCCGTGGGTAGCACCGGGAACTGTGTGCCTTAGAGCACGTGATGGGTGTGGGTGCGGTGGCCACCCAAGTGGGCCACGTGTATTACAGTGCCAGTGCATTTAGGAAGGATCAGATTTACTGCTCTCGGGGAAAAGTACGCGAGTGCACGGGGACTGGGACGCATCCCCACAAGCCTGGTAACCCTTGCAGGACACGGGGAATCCTTCAGCCCCCTAGAAGAACGCAGGCACGTGGGACATACGGCAATTTGTCTCTCTACAGCTTGCCAAGATGCTCCATTACATGAAATGGAAGTGGGTCTGCGAAGCAGTCTTTATTGTTTTTGCTGTGGTTTTCATCATCTCCCGGCTTGTCGTTTTCCCGTTGATGTGAGTTATGTGTTAACGTTCTCTGACCGTGGCTATTGCGTGCTATTTGAGCTTCTGAAGAGATGACCCTCCATGCTGAGGGGAGCAAAGGCAGGGGACAGGACACTACAGGTACGTTCAAAGATTAATCCAACTGGAACTGAAGGTTCCCAGGAACCCAAGGAAAAAAAACCCAGGGTTTTAACTGTATAAATTAACTAACTAAATTAATCTAGAGCCACAGCCACCGCCCCTCCATTCCCACGGTCTCACTGTCTCTCCTAGGTAGGGACTGTCTCTCACCTGGGGCTGTCTCATGCGGTGATGAGATGCTTCCATGCAGCTGACTTCTCATGAGCTATTGTGGCACTGGGAATGTTTTAGGATTTGTCTTCCTCCATCCTCCTAAAGCCATCCCCGCCAGAGTCTGAGGGTAATCTGTCTTCTCTACTCCTGCTCAAGACCTGGTGCGAGTCTTCCAGTGTGTAGGAAGTGCCCTCCTTCTGTTGCAAGCACTGGTTCCTACAAGAGAAAGAAGGTACAAACTGTACTGGTTAGAATTTCCCTTCTGATTTCACAATTTTCTTCTGATTTGTCTCTCTTTCCCACAGCACATACTATTACTTTGTGACAAAATTTCAGTTCTTCATCGTAAGCTGTCTGATAAACGCTTTCCTGATGATCCTGCAGTTGTTACATGTTTTCTGGTCCTATCTAATCATCCAGATGATCTTCAGTGTCATCCTCTGTGGTGAGGTATGAAAAAAAATCTTTGTCTCCTTTGTGCCACCACTACTCATGAGAGACCAGGAGATCCAGGGTGACTCCTGCATGCCCAACAAACAGCCTGAGAGCTTCTGAAGTCACACGTGGGGAGTTGTGTGGATACCTTTGCTCATGGAGATCAGAGCAGCAGCTCACTTCTAGTTTGCAGCTGTGTCCTAGTGACACGGTCCTTTCTCCTCCACCTTCTAACAGCTTCTCGGTATGTGGTTGGGGAGAACAGGAAGCTCTTGGTATGTCCAAAGTGGAGTAAGGAAGGAGCAATCAGGTAAGCCTGGTGGGTAGAACACTGTGTATTTGTGCCTCTGAGTTTTGGGTGCATTCCACAGGCTTTTGATGCATGCCAGAACTTGTATAGGGATCATTGGAAGAAACCTTGCCATCAGAGATGCCAGTTCCCTGGCCTGCCTTCCTAAGCTAAGTGGATGGCATCTTGGTAGCCTTTCAGTAGATTTGTGAAGGCTTTGGGGATCTGTGGCCAGAAAAAAAAAACCCAAAACCCCAACAAAAACCCCACAGTGCTGGTGTTATGCCTTCAGCTTACCTTGAACTACCCCTTCATTGAAGCCAAATTAAGAGAAAAAACAGTTTTTCTGGAGGAAATGATGGAGCATACTCTCATCAAGTTTGTAGATGGTACCAAAATGAGGAGACCAGTCAATATGCTCACTGGTCAAATATGTGTTGACTTTAGGAGCTTCAACAGTAATAACCTGCACAGTAAAATATGCAGAATAACTGTATGTAGACTAAATACTAACTTATTTTCAGAAGGTCACTTTACAAGAACATTATTAGGGTGACCAAAAAAAAAAAAAAAAGCCTTCAAAAGTTAGGTGAAACCATAACAAAGTCAACCTCTGGCAGTTTAAGTCAAGCTCCCAATGCAGGGACAAATGCAACACTGGCTTTAAGGACGTGCTCGTGCCTGTTATTTTTATTTTAGCGGTCAGGTTAACACACCAGTGCTGTGAACGAAAACAGAACTAGTCGCCTCTAATATATACCACGAGCTTTTGCTGCTCATTGAAATTGTCTTTCTTTCCTACAGAAAAGAAAAGATGCCCGAAGTGACACTGAGGAAAGCGACAGGAGCGAAGCGGAGGATCTGGTGAAGAACAAAGAGTAACGCGGGTCTTGCTGCAAAACACCAGGAACCGGGTAGACTCTCAAAAGTGAGGAGGCCAAATAGGACTTGGGGGGGGAAGGCCAGACAGGCTCACAGATGGCCTCACAGTAGTCTGCCTGCGGCCTCAGCCAGGGTCTAGATGGAAGCGAATTTCATCATAGCGTTCACAGGCAGCTAAGTCACTTCAGGAGATGTTTCCTTCACTTCTTCTATTGGGACCATTCTTTTACTACTCCTCTACGATCATTTATCCATGGAAAGAAAGGTCTAAAAGCCAAAGTCTCACCGTAAACCGGAGAAGAGGGGTTGAACAAGCTGCTGAAGTTATGACACCCAACTGTGGTTATCTCATCTCAAAACCTTCCCAAAGCTTCATGAGATAATAACTTACAACTGCTGAAGATAAAACTGACTTGCAATTTCAGAAGACGCTGGCAGTCATTGCCAGCCACCTCATGAAAGGACTCGCATGTGAAAGACACTAGCTTAAAGGGCAAATAAATTTTTAGTTGTATAGTATAAAATGGTCAGGCTTTGGGGAAGGATGAACCATTTCTGCAAATAAGGCCTGGACAACTGATACAAGCTGTATTTGCTGTGTAAATTATACAAAATAGCTCATGTGTCTACAATATATTGCTAGCTGAATGTCTACTCAGAGAGAAGGCTCCTAAAGTTGAAAGTGACTGAAACTCTTCCAAATGCACACTTTTTCACCAGAAATTACAGTTTAGTCTAAATGGAAACTTTCCATAGGGATGTATTATTTTTCATTGAGGTTTCACTTTCAAAATTGGAAAATAAGAGTGTTACAATACTGACTTTTTAATGGGATAGTTTAGGGGTTGGACAACTTTTCACCTTGTAATATATTGTATCCAATGTCATTTTCAGAATTTGTAGTAGAACATAAAATTTAAAGTCAATGTAAAAATGAGGCACACCTAAACCAAAGAGTCTGTTTTACCTAGATTTTGTATGATGCAGAAGTGGGGGTTTTTTTAGAATATCAAATCTTATGTCAGTAGGAAAAATCTTAGAAGCTTGCTGAAAGTCTGACATCACTGCTAACTCAAAAGGCTCAGAAAGTAGGGAGGACAGATAAATCTGTGTATATATGTCTGCAAATAATATACAAAAACCTGCAAACACTGTCTTTAAAATATGTTTTCTGCTCAGGCTTTGAGTGTGCTTCCAAAGGGTCTGACACATTTTACACAACTACCAGGGAAAACCGTTCCTGAGAAATGCAAAGAAAGAGCTGGAAAATGAAGGATGATTAAATAAGAACACGCTGCTGTGAAGAACCACGGTCCATCTCCCACATCTGACCTATGCAAGGCAAAATATAAATAAAGTCAGGAAAGATGTGGGAGAGAAAGGCAGAAGGAACTCACCCAACCTTCCCTTGAAGGATTCTGACATTCGGATCTGCAGGAAGCAATGCCGAGAGGCAGCCAGCCACCTCTCTGGGTGACACAGCCCTTGAGAAGGATGTCGCCTCGCCCGAACTAGCCGTACTTTGCTGCAAGACCCTTCCTTAGGACACCTGGTGTAAGGCTTTACCCAGGAATTATCTAGCCCTGTCCATCAAGGATGATGCTCTCTTATAAAGCCCCAAGTGATACATGAGAATCGCAGCTTTTAAAAGATTCATATAGCCTCCAGGGCACAAGAGTACAACTGGCCATCGGACTCAAAAAACAGCCCCAGCCTTTCGTTGCTGCCAGCCCCATCATTGGGGAAGCACCAACTCTGCTCTCAGCTCACGGAGCTGGCAGTGCTGGAGCCTGGCCGGAGGCTGACACAGGGGCAAGAGCCGAGGAGCAGTAGCCAGCCTGGACTGAGCCCTCTGGCTACTGCTCCTTGGCTCCTGCTGTCCTGATGGAGTTCTCACAGCAGCAGGACCTCTCGGTTTTTAAGGCCTCTCTCATTCTCCAGAGATGATAATCAGTCAGCTCAGGAACTCTCTTAAGTACATTTTCCTTTCCACGTTGCTATGTCACAGCAAAGACCAGAGACTGCCAGCATCGATAACGGTAACGCTTGTAGCACAACCTCCCAGCTTGGTGCTGTTGCACTCTCCCCTTCCATTTGAGACTCATGTGGCAGCCATTCTCTCAGCTGCTCCATCCCTAGGACACCTGAGTATTTGATATATTATTTTATTTGATATATTATTTTACTCCTCCTATATTTTCTAACGCTGATGCAATGACTTTCCTGTCTCTCCCAGCTGTTCAAAGGACAGAGCCACAGAGGTTAAAGGTCAGAGCAGCCCTTTATTTAGCATCAGCCCTGAGGAGTTGTACCATAACAATGCCAACTGCTGTTTCCAGTGATGTGGACCTTCGTGTAGACACCAAGGTTTCACTGGTTTTTGCTTCAAGTTCATTTGCCAGGTATGGAAAAAAAAAAAAAAAAAGATGACAAAGTTACAAAGGAACAGACCTACTTTCAAAATTAAAAAAATTCACAGACCAAACTTGATGTAATCTAACTCCCATCAGCTGTAAAGCACATTACTTTTTGGTTATGCTGGATCTGGCATCGCTCACGGCCACGTATCAAACCTTCGCACAGAAACACACCCATGAATAGGAAGGGGGCAAGGGAGTTTGCTATCTATGACCTGGCACATATCAATGTAGGGATCAAAGAGGACTACAACAGGGAGGGCACTGTTCCCCTTCCTCTGTCCAATGAGATAAATTCGTCCATTCACAGTGCTGCATCCCATGAAGAACTTCTTGGTAAAGCATTCCTCATCCACCTGGGTCCATTCATCTGTCTCCACATCAAATCGAAAAGCTCCCCCTCCTATGGTGTACAGAGCACCGTTCAGTGACGTGATGCAGAGGTCATACCTGGGAGGGAAGAAACCCTTGGTCAGAATCAATAGAAAGGTCTGGCCCCTGAAATGCTCAGGATGACCTTGGTCTTCATATCAAGAGTCCCACTGAAACAGAGAATCACAAAAGTGTTAGCGGGACAGGACTTCTGGATTTCTCCAGTCCAACCTCTTCTTGGACCAGGACCGACACTAGAACCTCTCTGCCCCTGCCAGGTCCCAGAAGATTATTTCTTACCTTGGAAGCGGGGAGAATGAGATGACATCCCAGCTGTCCGTCTCTGTGTTCAGCCTTTGCACTCCATCATATACATGTCCATTTTCATCCAGGCCACAGACCACATAGATCCTGGTTCCCACACTGACCGCATCTCCTCTCTCCACAGGTTGAGCCATAGGACTCATGCTTTCCCATTCTGAGTCCATCAAAGCCATGCGCTCCACTGCTGAGATTATCCCTTCATCTGTGCTCCCTCCAAGTACGTACAGGTAGAGCCCGGCTCCTACTGCACAGTGGCTATTGCGGGACTTCTTCATGGCAGGCCCTTCCAGCCAGCTATTGTCCAGGCAATTGTAGATAAGCACCCAATCCACACTATACCACACGAACTCATCCCGGAAATATCCTCCTGTGACAAAAAGGAAGCTCCCTGGAAAGACAGCAGAGAAAAGTATCAATTACACACAGGCTGAAAACTGCTCCTGAGAACTAAGGTTCTCATTTCTCCTTGGGCTGTACCAATGAGGTGCAAGATGAGCAGAGAAAAATCACTGCTCTTTGTATCAGTTTGTAGTATTTGATTCCTCATCTGCAGAGATGTGCTGGGCCTACAGGATGCAGTAAGTCCTTCCAAGTGTAGAACAGACTCATGGAAACACTGGTTGGAAAGAACCTCTGAGGAACTCATGTCCAAAGTCCCACTTGAAATGGGACTATTACCAACACTAAATAAGGGAAGCCATGGTATTGAGCTGTCTTGAAAGTCTCCAAGCATGAAGATTTCACAACATCCATGGTTAAGTTTAACTTAACTATAAATCAGAAGTCACCATCTGTCAAAACCACCATGAAAGAAAAGGGCAAAAAAAAACGCTGCTTAACGTGAAGTCATTAGACTCACTCCCGATATATCTAATGTACGGAGAATTTCTGCTATATGAAAAGAAATATTCAGCCTTGTCTAACGTTCTCCCAGGACTAAGGAAAACAACACCATTCTTTGAACAAATATGAACACAAACATGAATAAGGTTTTAGCAATGCTGAACAATGCAGTTTTGCAGGAGAAGCAGCTGAAGTCCCTGCATTTGGGTCTCTAAACCTCAACTTCTGTTTGCATTTGCTCAGTCCCACTGGTCTGTAAGTTACCTACTGCTGCCACTGCGTATTGGGTGAGGTTCCTGCGCTGCAGTGGAGAACAAGACTGCCAGGTCCCCGTTTTAGGTTGAAAGAGAAATAATTCTTGCTGTTCCTTGTCATGCTTTCCTCCCAGGACATATAAGGTGTCATAGCTCCGACCAGCATAAGGACACAGTTCCGTATTTTGCCAGCTGGGTGGAGGACAGCTGTCTAACTTCTTTATCAGTCTGGAAAAGGTATCTGTCTCTCCAGGGCGCTTGCTGCGTTTCACCAAGATATCGAGGAAGGACAAACTCAGAAAACTGACCCTGACTTCACCCACCAAATCCAGAAAGTCTTCCTCTCTCGTTGCTGGGTCCTCCATTATCCACCTCATAATACTGTCAAAAACCACATCTTCTCGCAAAACGAAGAGGTCATCGCTTTTTAGGAGTTGCATCAGCATTTCTTTGGGTAATGCCTTAAATTCTTCCTGGCACATCACATCCCCCCAGTGAGTGAGAGCCACATTCATAGCGGATGCATAGAGCTCTATAAAGGCAAAGTGCTGCGAGTAGGTCATCAGGCCCAGGCAGTTGGAAACATGCAGCTCTCTCTCCAGAAATCTCTCACACAACAGTTTCACCCTGTCAAACTGAAAAAAATCAGCTGTTTCCAGTAAGCTGGTCACATTTTCTTGATCTATAAGCACGTGGGCTGTGCGAGTGAACTCAAGTAGCGCCTGAAAAGGCACTGCATCAATCTCTCTGATCACTATGTGGTGTTCAGAGCTCTCTCTTGCCCCCCCAAAAAACATGGCTTCAAAATAACGACTGTGTACTGAAAGCACCCTACGGTTGACCTGAAAGAGTCTTTCTCCAACCTCAAGAACCGTGTCTGCAATCACTTCAGTCTGAGGTCCCAGCTCCTCCGGTTCTTGTGCAGGTTCCATGCTTGTTGACTGCGAGGCAGTTAAAATTAACTCAGGCCTTACTCATGTGAAGTCTCTGGAAACATTATCCCCCTAGCAAGGATAAATACAAGATAAGCCAATCTTGCCCTAAAAATAGAATATGTTTTATACCCTCCTGCTTTGCTCTTCAGCCCTTCCTGCTGCTTTCAGAGCAGCAATAGCAGGAGAGCTATATAACCAAAAAAATGCAGATTTAGTTGGCATCTACCTTAGCCTGGTAAGAACCCAGCAAATTAGGGGAGCTGTTAGCCAAGCAGAGCCTGGACTACAAGGAGGAAAGAGGAGAAACAACCCAAACCTTCCTAAGCACTGACTAAATATCAAGAAGTTGTAGAAGAGCATTGAACCCATTTGGAAAAAAGTACTCATTACAATACTTTTCACTTCTGCTAATCAAAAACATAGGAAAGCTTAAGACTTCCTGGGAAAAAACACTCGTTTCCCCAAAGCCACATCCTTTATCAGCTCAAGTTTAATATGAAATTCCATACAGCAAGCAATATTTAGTACATATTTAGCTTTAGTAATATATGAGGGGAAGGAATGAGCCCCCCATTCAAACCCAGAGGGGCTGTCAGATACTCGGTCATCCTCAATCTCAATGCACTAAATAGTCATAGTCCAAGCAACAGCTCACTGGTTCCACACAGTGAAGTTTTCCAAAGTGTTTAGACCGAGCTATTAAGTGGAGAGATATGCATAGTGACCTTGAACTAGTGCCCATTATCCCTAAGGGTCCATCCCAGCAAGACTCAGTCCCATTTCTCAGTGGAGTTGAGCAAGCAGAATAGTACTATCTGGATCAAGAGCACCTTTCTTCCCCCCAGAGGTTCCCTCCTGCATTTCTTCAAGAGGCTTCTGCAACACTCTGTTACAGATAGTTTTATAGAGAGTCACATTTAGGAACGAATACAATAGAAACTCATATACACATTTAAAATTCAGCTATCATTTTCTTTCTTATTTTCAGGTACTTGACTCCTAAATATAACCTAGAAGTCTGCACTGCAGAAAAGGACAGTCACGTATCTTGCAATGAAGACTGAGCAACCGATTAACTGAGCAGGAAATGCTGGAAACATGCCCTCTCCAGAGTTTATGCATGTGACCTGATGTCAGGCAGATCTCTCTGTATCCTCTGCATCTAGAGCCTGGAATCCACTCAAGAGAGCTTCAACAGGTTTTCTGACACTACACTCTGAGAACAAGAGAGCGCAGGGATGCTAGCAACAACATCCTGCACCAACAGCCAGCAAGCTGTCTCCCACCTAAGGGACCGTTCAAGCCTCTACTTGGGCTGATGGCAAGCAAATTCTGCTCCATAGATTTTCTTTTGAATTGTGCAATTGCATGAAGAACAAGTTTTGTAGTGTTAGAGAAAAAATTATGTTGGAAGGAGCATGACTCAGACTGCTCTGTGAAGCACTCAGAGAATGAACCCCTAGGAAATTAAAATCCAGAAGCACTCAAGTTTACACAAGCAATGTGCCACACAAGACAACTGGTCTCTAGTTTCATAGCCTCCTGGAAAAGTCAGATACTCTGAACTGGAATTTATTTACTTCCAGTTCCCATCCATTTCAGAGCTGACCCAGGAACAGCTATGAATGGGAATACAGTGCTGTTTCCAAGATGAACAGCCAAAATAACCTGTCCTTGGCATGTTTTCTTGACAGCCTCTAGGAACAAGATTGCTGCTGCCACCAAAACAACTTACTCTGCCACAGCCTCCTCATAAAGGGTCCTCAGGAAAAGCGAGTGGCAGAATCAGGTTACATACAGCCTACGGACACATAATCCTCTACGAAACAGCCTTTAAAATGCCTAACAGAAATGCGCAGGTCCTCAGAAAAGGGACCAGATGCTCTCAAGTAACTTCTCATCGATTTCCTGTCTTAGAGCACAGCATGGCTTCTGATCTGGTCCCTCCTGATTCTGCTGCGTTTACGCACCTCTTGAATAAATTTAATTTAGATTTACAACTGTGGAGAGCTGCAATGTCAGCTGTAGAGCACTTTTTCAGACTAAAAACCAGACACTTAGGAACAGATTAATTTGTTTTTTATTCACTCAAAACTCCTCAAATCTTGCTATTTCTGCAGTATAAAAGAAATACAAATGTTTACTTACAAATCAAGTTATAACAAGCAAAACCACAGGTGGACAGCTACAATATAAAAATATGCAGTATTTCCAGACACTGCCTACAATTGAACATCAGGATCTTAAATACTCTTCCCCTAAAATTCCAAGTATCAAATAGATACTTCCATAAGGTTAATGTCACTCAGCCAAGAATCATCCTAGAAGTTAATCCAGTCCTGTAGAAGCGTGGGAGCCTTCTGATACACAGATCGCAGCCCACAAGATCTGGAACAAGTACTAGAAGAGATCTTAGCTACATAGCTTGTAAAGGCGATGGCAAGGTATTGGACAAGGAAAGTAATTTTCCTGCATGCACTGGAGCAAGCAGGCAAAAAAGACTGAACTCAACAGCAGGAAGACTACAACACAATACTTTCCAGATGAGTTCTGACATCTAAGAGGAAGAAAAACATGTTCTAATGTATTTAGGCTTTAGATTAAATACATTTTTAATGTATTTAAAAATGTAAATAATATAACAAATATTCAGGACATTCTTTACTAACTTTATGTGGTTGTTTCAAAACTCACAAGATCAAGAGGGTCTCAGACAATTCCATGACAGTCTATTCTCTTCTGTCAGCTCTAAACAACAGTTACACATTTATTTGAGGAAAACAAAAATAAAAATCAGAACTTACTTCTTACACATCATGGCCCATTCTCTCATCATTTATGGGAAGCCACAAAAATAAAAGTTGACCATTCTTTCACAATAACAAATACACATTCAAACTCCTCCCCCAAACCAGGAAGCTTCTCACACACTGACAGTTTTCCAAGGGTGCAGATCATCGGAGAAGTCTTAGAGACAAACCAGAGAAAGCATTAGCCATCTTGCTGCTGAATGAAAGGGTTTGGAATAGCTTCCATTCCATCCTGTGGACAAATAAGAACCACAGATGTCCCTCTGCAGACCACAAGTCCCAGCTGACGTGTGTCCTCTGTTAATTTGTATTGATCATCTGGATCTGAAAAGCAGAGATCCACAGTTACAAAGGCAACATAAGGAAAAGAAACCAAATTCCATCAACTTCAAAAGGCACAGGCATACAGTGTTTTTCCAGGCATCTCTGCATTGTTTTATTGAACATATAGACTACAGAAGTGATGCAGCAGTAATATCTGATGTCTTCAAGACATTACTGATTTACTGATTTTCAAAGTAGCGCATGCCACAGTAAGCAATAAAGAACTTTGCTCTGTATGCAAAGCAGAACATGTATCTTTTGAAGAATTCAAAGGCCCTTTCATTCATCTAACCAAAAGCATACATACAAGTAATTATAAAAGCTCCCAGTCTCATTTCAAATGCCATTATAAACAAACATTTTGGGATCAACGCACATCAGAAAAAGACCCTGACTAAAGACTGCACTAAGTAAAGAATGCACTTGTCTACTCCCAGACCAAGCTAAACAAGGCTGTGGACGGGGACAAACATTTAACACAGCAACAGCCAATTCTATCCCTCCTTGAGATGTCAATATATTTGATAAAAAAAGTATTACATTCATCTTTTAAAACTCCCTTCTAAGAATAAAATTAAAGCTTCAGGTGCTTTCTTGTAAGCAAACAAGAGGATACTCTTCAAAAAGGCTGTCCTATCATATGGTAAAGTCTGTTTCAGAGGGGAAAAAGAAACAAATAATAAGAAAAAACACTTCAGCTCTATTAGTTCTAAGAAGCTATAAAAGGCTTTAGTTCCACAGAAATCCAAAGATTGCATTTACAGTAGAGTTTAAGACAGTAAGACACTAGTTCTCACCGAGATGCTTTTCCTGCTTTGAACAAACTGGCAACCCTCCAGCAGTATAAACAATGGCAAAGGCAATTGCCTTATCTGAAGGGAGACATGCTACTTTAACTCATTTGGTGTTCTATACTCAAGCTTTAGAGGACAAGAGGAGCTCAAGCAAGGACTACCAAGAATGTTCTACCACAGGGAATGTGCTCAACCTAATTTCTGTTATCTTACCCTTTCCTTTACAATTTGGTTATCACAAACATGTCTCAGTTCAGATGATGTCAGCCTGCAGTTTCTGATTATTCAGTCACAGAGCTGTAAGATTTCTGTTAAGAAAATTATTGGCAGTGGGGGGAGCTTTACACACATAGCATATTACTTACCTCGCATATATTCAATGGTACCATCAAGCACAAGGTTCAGAAGAGGGTCAAATCCTTTCAAGACACCACTTGCTATTGAAGATCACACACAAAACAATGATTAGAGACCAAAACCAGATATGTGGCAACACAAGACTGCACGAAGGACACATTCAGTTCTCCAGCTCTGTTCCCTCCTTCCAGCAAGGCTATCAAGCAAACGAGACCAGAGATATTCAACAGTGTCCTTTTTATCAAAGTGCAAATACATGAAAAACCGGTATGTGTTGTGCCAAGTGAAACTTACAGGTTTTTCAAGTAATTCTTTGAAACACTCTTCAAAATACTAACATTCTTGTTTTCAGCCAATTTCAGGGGCATTTTAAGAATACTTCAGCATAACAAATCCATACAAGTGACACCACACAAAAAACCCCAAACCCCAAACGCAAAGAAATACCCTTTGCAAAGGGGTATGGCAAAAAATGAGGCAAGACTGTAATATTATGAAGTGTTTTCCTCAGAAAACCCATCTTCCAGGTGGTCGGTCTCCTGGAATATAATCTCTTTAGCACAAGCACTGCCTTCATAGGCATGCACTGCAGACAGACAAGCACTTTGTCCTAAACCAGAACACGATTCCACAAGACTGGCCACTAAATATATCGCAAGATTACACAGAATCTCCCAGTTTGAAAAATACTCGTTGATTACCAGCATTAATTTGGGCTGTTAGCAATGATGGTAAAGGGACTCTTACAATCCCAGGTGTTATATGAAGATCATAAAGGAAGTTGGCGTGAATTTTTTGAGAAGAAAAATCTAAAACAATAGATTCAATGAAATTGTCAACTCTCCAAAAGCTAAAAAAAAAAAACCAAGCCAAAACAAAAACCAACTCAAAACCCCACACTTATCAGTCAGGAGTCCAAGTAACTTCCAAAACCTCGTAAGCATCAGATCCCAGTGGAGTTTTAACAGAGAATTTTTAAAACTAAACCATGTTTGCTTTGCAAAAGCTTCTGCCAAGCATCTCCCATGCAGCATGCTGTTAACTATCAGCTAGACAAGTGTTCTGCAGGCAGCACTATCAGCTGCGTCGGGATGGATAGCTATAGATACGGCAAGGGAGCAAGTGGGGGGCCGGGGGATAACAACGATGGAAGAGCCTCGAAAGCGATGAAAAGACACGGTTAAATATATTGAAACAATCTATGAACTCCAGGCATTTCTAGTATGTTAAGATACGGCAGGTGTATTAATTGTAACCCCCATAGATGTTTCTTTTCTGCTTTAAGTCCACCCTTGCAATGTGAAAAACCAGCCAAAAGAACCAAGACAGTTGAAGACAACTAATAAGAGAAGATGAAAAGATAAAATTGCAGCCAGGGGATTAACAGAAAAGTTAAAAGAGATAATCTTCACAGTGGTAACAGCAACAAATAAAAGCAACCGCTACTCATCGCCTCTCCTTGAAAGGAAGCAACATGACCACCCAAGAGACAAAACCCGAAAGCGAAGAGCGAGGAAACACGCCAAGACACAGCAAGCTTCACGCCTCATCCCTGGCCCGGAGCCCAGCGCTGCCTCACCTTCTCGCCCACCTTGGAACTTCACCCGGATTGTTTTGTCAATGTATTTGGAGAGGTCCAAAATACTCTCCTTCTTTTTCTTCTCCTTATCCTGAAAAAGGAGGAGCAAAAGCAATCTGAATGAAAGAAAACCCTCCCCTGCCCCGCCCTTCCTCCCCAGTTACATATATACTCCGTAACGCTTTTGCGTTATAACGCCGCGTTGTGTTATTAACGCTGTTGTTGTGTTATTAACGCTGTTGTTGTGTTAACACGGCTACGAAGGCTGCCCCGAGGCAGAACTCAACTCCACACGAAGGAAGAGCAGGAGACCAGGGCTGACTAGCCGGGCAGCGGGCCGGCA